GAGCTCTGAAAGTTGTTAATGGCACATAATAATACTCAGAAATTCTACTCCCCTCCCATTGCTAATTATCCTACATACTATCACCTCCAAAGAGTTTGTCACTCAGGTATTTTGTTATAAAACTGTAGCTTTTTTTTAAAGATTCTCTGAGCTGCTCTACCGAGGGCAGAGCGTTGCCTCTGGATTGTTATTTCCTGCCGTGAGCACACTGCAATTGCTGCTGGACTGGGTGCCACAGAGCCCAGATCCAAGGGCAGCCCTTGCAAGCAAACAGCTCACAGAGACCAGGGCAGGGACTGTTCTCTCAGCTTCCAGATGAAAATGTGAACGGTGCAAATTGCCTGCACTTGCAAAAGAGCCTGTGACCGAGCCAAGGGTTTATCCCAGGCCCCGCGCAGCCCTGTGTGATATTTCTGCCTCACAGCCCCTTTCCTTACAGGCAGTTCTTTGGCACTGCCCCATCTGCAGGAGGTCTGGGGGCTCTGGCCACACGTGCTGCACACTCCTCTCCTCGTGTGCTGTGTGAACCCTGAGCCTGAGCCTTGGGGGCAGGCACAACAGGTAGCAGCAAACCAGGAGCACAGCACTTTCCTTCTTACCTCCTCCTTTCCAACACCCAATGATACAGTATTTGTCTGGGGCACACTGTAAGATATAATAATGTTTGTGGCTCACTACATAAGGTGATGTAGCTTTTTTGCCTGTGTTCAAAGTTAAGTGCCTTGTTCTGATGGCAGAGGAATGGAAAACCAGAAAAGAATACCCAGATTTATCCTGATTAGACTGCTGCCTGTCCAGCATTTTCAGCTTGACCATAGTCATGCTAATATTTCTCAAACAAATGGAAGTAAATTTTGGCAGCCAGGAACATGCATTGGTGCATGTTTAAGGTCTCTGAAGAAAGTCACCAACCTTTGATGCTTAGTTTAGTATCAGCTCAAGTGCTCAATCCTGAGCTGTATTTTAGAGAAAGTCCTGGTAGTGCCACAGTACATGACAATGTTGACCTTATACCATGGGCACACTGGTTTCTTGCTTGTTATTCTTCTTTTTTGGCAGATAAAATAGTTGTTGTTGTTATTATTATTATTACTTTATTTTTAAGCTCACTTTTACAGGCTCTGAGACACTGTTATAGTCACCAGTGGAGGTGGGGTCTCTTTTCCATTTTCTCCTGTAAGAAAAAAAACTGGAGTCTTGGCTAGAGAGGTACCTTGACCCTTCCAAACATTGCCAGTAAGGAATACTGTCCTTTCTTTCATAAAACCCCTATCAGTGTGAATATGTGAGTAATGAGCTCTGTAGCCACTGGCACCTGACCAGTGGCCAGCTATGTATAATCCTGTCAGCCTGGGAGCTCTTCTCATCTACTGCAGAAGGTCTAACAGTCACACAGAGAATTTGGGCCTACCAAGACTTTGACTGACTTTACAGTAGCCGGAACATAATTATGCTTTTTGCACAGTTCCTGCAATTTTTTGGCTGGATGAACAGCAGAGCCACAGCTAGGAGAGAAAGGGACAAACCATGCTGAACACCGTGGAAAACAGTCAGCATAAGGTTTGTGTTTCCCTTCACCTGTGCAGCATCTGCTCTGCTCAGTCACACAAAGCCCAGATGGCTCCGAGGTTCAGTTTGCAAATAAAAACAGTGACCCTTGCTGGGGTGAAATCTGTTTACCACAGAGTTGTGTGTTTGCAGCTGTCAGGGGCTCCCTGCTTCCTACCTGGGGAAGGGGAAACCAACAAATCCTTGCACCCAGGTTCAAGCACCTCTTCTTCAAGAGCTTCTGTCTTCCTGTGGATAACTAGGGTTCTGCTAACTCTACCCTTACAGAGACTTCACCTCCTCAGGCCTAAGGAGCACCTTTTATAATCTAAGTTTGTTTATTTTTTTCTAAGATAAGACAACCTCTTGCTCCTTCCTCCTGTATGCTGTTCATTATTCTCTGTGATCCTTTGCTTGCTAGAAGGACTCTGTTGGCAGTTGTCATTTCAAGGCTACCCAGCTCTACCTGTGCAATGTGCTTTTTCTCCTTTCTTTAAATGCTTCCATTTTCCTTTGTTCTCTCTCAATGTTTTTGTCCCTTGTTACATGCAGATTGTCCCTCTGGTCACAGTTCTATATGTCCTTCATGAGCTGACTTCCTTAAAGAAGGATGGCTTTAACCAGTAAGCGTTGGTGCAGACTCCAAGGTTTAGGTTCTGTTTCTTCCTCTGCCATGGATTTCCTGTTTGACTTTAGACACATAACTTTACATCCCTAAGCCTTTATCATCTCTATGGAAGGGGGCTGGGAGGTGATAATGCTGATTTCTCCCTGTTCTTATGCATTCTCCTAGTTTGGTTGGTAGTTCCTGGTTAGAGGAGTTTAAAACCTAATTAGACATGATCATTATCTCTTCTTATTTTTATGTCTGTGCCACAGATAGTCCCTGCTGGGTCCTCTCTAGGTTACTGTAATATAAATAGTATGTTCTTATTTGAAATTAAAAACATATACTGTAACCTGTTTTCTCCTTTAACAGGAACACAAAAGCAGCAACTCAGGCTGAACTGTGTTTTCTGTTTCAAGTGACATTTTTCTATACCTTATTCCCCAAGAAAATATCTTTGATTAATATTTCAAGCATCATATAACACTGGAAGCCAAACAGGATAGGAAAGCTGATTGTGCAGAAATGAAAGCCAAACTACATCAAAAGGTCAGAGGGCAAATGTGCCTATGTCAAGACCTACATACCTTTTGGTTCTTGAACCTGGCAGCTGGAGGAAAATCAACATTGCAAAAAAACTAATAATCCCTGCATCAGAGCCTGTGTTTACTGGAAAACTCTTATGTAAGTGTTAACAGGTCAGGTGCATTCCTACACACTGTACACTTATGCACAGTGTATTCCTGTTCTAATAGGAATAAGGCAACACTGGTGGACAATGTGATTTTTTTCGAAAGCACTTTTACTTGGTCACTGTAAATGGGTCCTATGAGACAAGTGCCACAATTATGAGTATTGCTACAAACAACATTCAGCAAAGAAATCAAGGGTTCAGCTGGACCCTGGAGATCACACTTTTTTCTTATGCTTTTAAGAAGACAGAATTCTGACTGCTGTACGTGTGTCTGTTGACTGACCAGCTGTAACTGTCTCCAAATTTACTGACTCAGAATGATACATAAGCATATGAGTACTGTTTATGTAAAGGGCAGCTTCTTATACATAAGCTTAAACTAGTATGTACAAATTAATAGCAACCAACTTGCATTTTTCAAATAAAATTTTAAAAAACACCCACTTGTTAACCTTGTAGAGTTCAGGTATTTGCTCTGAAACGGCACTAAGGCCTTGATATTTTGGGTGAAGCACGAATGGGCTCTGACGAGGAGATCTTAAACAAAAGAAGGCTATGAATGACAGATCAAGAGACTTTGTTTGTAGAGGCAGCTCTGAACAGAACAATAACCATGATTCACAAAACTGTCACTTAGCTATTCTTGTTTGCTTTCTAGGCACTGCCTCATCCTGCTGTTTAAAAAGACTGCAAGGACTATAAGGATGACCTGGTTTCTTACTACAGGAAAATATGTAAAACCTGCTATACCATGTTTCTGTTACCAGTTCCTGATGGAGAAGCATGGGGTCTTTAAGTGATGATTTGACATTATAGCAGTGCAGAAGACTAAGATTTAAGGTATCTCCGCTGATAAATATCAAGGACTAAACCACCCCCTGTTCAGTGAAGTGAGACTAATATACATGTCTTTAAATATGCCCTTACATTTTCTTGATTTCTTCAGATTTTCCAGTTAAGAATCTTGATTTGGACTCCTTGAAAGTTCAGCACCCAAGACAATTTGTTATCTGAGCTGGGAAAAAAGTGCATGGGAACCCACTGTTCTTCTGAACCCACTAACTGCCTCCTTACTGCTGATTCTGCAAGGTTTAATGTCTACTTGCTGCATTTCCACGTGGAAGCAGAATTTGAACTCCTTTGGGTTGTACATCTTACTCATAGATTCATTAGGGCAATGATTCAAGAGTCCCATTCTCCATGATCCAATTAACTTCCAATGTTTGGTGTCTGTTCAGCTGTGCACAAAGAGCTGTTCTCTGAACTGTTTTTCTGATTAAAGATTAACAATGCGATAGAAGAAGGAAACATGGGCATCCTTGGAGTTTGTTTCTTACATCAGCTGGGTTAAACCTTTACTATCGTTTCTCACTGTGTATTTTCTCTTTGTGTTTGGCAATCAAATTCTGCACAGCTCTAGCACGTTTCCCCCAGTTTAGTCAAAACAAGAGGGAAACTTTCTGCCTTTTTAAGCTTTTGACTCTTCGACCCTTGCACAAACAGCAACAGAAAACTTTAATAACTGACTAAGAGGAGTTGTCTTTAAAACTTTCTTTGCTATCTCTTAGATTAAAGAGTATTCTGTAAAAACAGTGGAAATCACTGAGGTGTATTAAACTGTATAACCACACTAATTTCTTTTGAAATGGAAGAAGTAATGTCCTTCCCAATAAACATCCTTCTTCCAAACAGACCCAGGCACGCAGCTCTGCTGTTTGCCACAAGCAGCAAACGGTGCATTACTGGATGGCATGATTGTTTCTAAATATATCATAATGTTAGATGAAACAGTTAATAGACAAATTACAATTATGGTTAATAATTTTTAGACCACTTCCCTGGCTTGTGTCTGAACAATCAATCATCCTTGGTACTTTCAGCTCCAGTAAGCTTATGTTAAATACTTCCCCTTTTATATATCCCACATCTGTACACTATTTTGTCTTGGTTTTTTTTGTCATGCTATATAATTATAATAATTTACAGTCTGGAGCAGGATTTTAAGCACACAGACAACACTTGAAAGTATTAAGTCTTTTAACTTAACAGAAGTTGGTTTGGTTCTGCTACAAGAATCACTGCTGTTTAAAGAGATGATTTGTCTTTCTCAAAGTCAAGGTGAGCATTGGAGGGAGAGCAAAGCCCAGCCTTTCCCATGCCTTGGGCACAGCCCATATTTAGCTGATTGTTCATGAACTGTCCCAGCACTGTGCCCCAGAAAGCTCTGTGCCCTCCTCACCCTCCTCTTTGCACTAAGTGGTAATTTATAGCCTAGACACCAGCCAATCAATACCCTCCACAGATTTCCATCTGTCTTTGCTTTGCTATGCTCCCATCTTCCCTTTGCTTTGGGCAATAAGGAAACCAGTAGACTGCATGTTCTGATGTTCCTCGATCCGAGGTCTGAGTAACTTTTATAGGATTGTAGAGATGGGGAGCAGAGAATTGTGTTTTTTGGGGCAAACAAGAAATCCAAGTCAGATCTGAATCCTAAATGATGTCTTCTAGAATAAGCTGTAGCTCCCATCTCAGAATCAGAGGTATGGGAGGCAAAACAAAAAACAATCAAATAAACAAACAGAACAAAACAAAAAAAAAAAAAGGGAAAAAAATCTAAAATATTTTAATACTATCCTTCTTTTCAAGTGATCAGACTGTATATTTTCTCCTGAGAATCTTCCAGGCCAGCACTGAAGCACTGAGTTAATTCTGAATCTGCAACTTTCAGTTGCTTAGAATAGCATCTTTCTTTTTTTAATCTCACTCATTAGTTGAAATGCTGTGTTGTTTTTTTTTTTAATTAGGATATTTGGTGGTCTCTGAAGAAATGCTTCATCTCTGTGAAAGTGGGACACTGAAGGCACAATTGACAACAGCACCAAAAAATATTTCAACCATTTCGTCACTACAGCTTCAAGAACTGAACAGTGTTTAAAGGAGCCAGATGAATTAGAAGACGATAAAAGTAAACTCGCTTTCCCTGAAACAGGTGATGGTGTGAAAGAGGTTATCTCCTGCTGTCATTATGAAGAGGGGCAATATCTCACTGCAAAACAGGTGATGAAGGTAGCGATTGTCCCTGGTGCAAGAGCAAAGCAAAGGCGTGTGTGTTTGCAGAGCGGTGTTAAGGCACAGACACCACTCTGACAGGTGCGGTGCGAACGCGACACAGACTTGGAAACAAAAGTGAGACATTGGAGGGAAGTGAAAATGGAAAACTTTCCAGATGCCAGGTGGAAAATGATATTAAAGCTGTCAAAATAAGTCACAACAAAGACTGGGTTTTCTCATAGACTAACAGGAGTCATGTTCTGCAGAAGAATGGAGTTCTCAACCACAAGACAGAGTATCACAAATGAAACAATTACGAGCATTGGAGGTTAAACTGAGGCCTATTTGTTTCAGGGTTTTTTTTTGCTTTCGTCTCCCTCTTTTTTTTCCTTTTTATTTTTTTCCTTTTCTCTTCCAAAGGCACTATGGCAGTTTTGATTTACTCTGCATTTTGTGGACAGGTCAAGAATGTGTAAATAAATCACACCGTCATTTCTTATCGTAGTTATCTATTCTGGGCCTAATTCCAAACCCAGTTAAATTGATGGCAATCCTTCCATTGGCATCAGAGCACTGTAATTTAGAACCTGTGATAGAGGTGCAAAGCATCATGGTAGAGGCTTGTTAAACAGCCTCTGCAGTCATCCAAAGTGATTTTCTAAAATACAGTAAGGAAAAGGAACTTAGAACTACCTTCAAGGTCAAATATGCTTTATGTACATGCTAATGGAGCATTTAAAAAAGCTCCACCTAACAAGCATTAAATGTCCTAAATATTATAAAAGGGGTTATTCAGATTTAAGACTGACAATCTGAACAGATAACCCAGTATTTTACTCTTTTCAAAAATCAGCCGCACTGTTTATACTTGTGTAGAAAACCACAGACCAGAACAAAGTTCACTGTGTTTCCTTAGTGCAGTCAAGGGTAGAATTTACTCTGCTGATTGAGGATTTCAGTTGTCCATGTATTCATTTTCATGCACTGGTAGATTCTTATCAGCAATTTATCTGCAATTTTGTGGCCGAATTTTGTTCCTTTATGCAACATTAGCACAAGAAAATGTGCCTACATTAAATTCCTTGTATTCCTTATAAACTACTCCTAACAAACAATAATTCATACTGAATGTTTACCCCCCAAAGTATAATTATGACTTTAAAAATAAAATGGCTCTCCGTTCTTTTCATGATAGATTTTTCAGGCAGACTGTTGATGTGTTAGAAAGAACCAGACTCCCAGAGGAGTGGGTAGAAGCTTGATTGCAGCTAGAGATAGACAATGCAGCAGCAGTGGTAACTGGAGACTGTACACACAACAGGCCATAATGGCCATTATGGAGCTGTTAACCTCTAGTGTGTCAAAACCTAATCAGAAACTGGTTGAATTTGCAGCTTGCTGATCCAAGTGATTCCTTTAAATTCAACAAAAAAAAAAAAATGAACTGAAGGGCTATTCTGTGTTTGAGTTATAAACCCTTTAAAATATCAGTTAATAATGGAAATAATGACAGACCTCTAGTGTAGCTGCACGGATGGTGCTGGTATTAATAATGCAGAAGTGCAAGGCAGGACAGCTCTTGGAAGCTGATGACTGTTGAAGTGCAGAAAACCTCATTAAAATGACCTAAAGAGGAGTGTATTATTATAATAACTTTTTTCCTACAGTACCCTTCAACTATAATAATTGCACAATATATGTAGCAACTTGAAAAGATTCAGAAATGTGTAAGAAGTAAAGTCTCTGGCCACAGTTACTGGCAGCATAATTATAAGAATATATTATTTACTCTGCATCGTGTTCTTTAGTTTTGAGAGCCCAGAGATTCGTGGATGATGAATAATGTGGTGTCTAACTAAAATATCAGCCCTACATTGCTGGAACACATATTCAACCTCAAATAATTGCTTTGGAATTTTGTTGATTTCAAGTAGCAGAATAGTTATGACTAACTTGCTGATGTTAAATGTAAAAAATTTGATATTATTTTTGCATTTAAGATTCTGCAGTGGATAGGAGTAGTTGTTGTCAAGGATATTTATGGGATTTTCAGTTGCTCTCTCTGAGGATAAGGTCCAATGATCTAAAATCATGCTTTTTCAAGATGTGAAGAGTTTAATTTTTCATTCTTACAACTAATTACAGTGGACCCACTAATGTACTTTTCACAGCTACATCCTTTGCAGGAATCAGACTCACCGGCTTCTCCAATGGTGCTATATAGCCCTGCTATCCCAGGTACCTACCACACAGAAATAGGAATAATAACTCTGAAAAATTCCATGGAAAAGGGAATGTGTGGTTCCTAGGTACCCAGTGGTGTTAACTGTGCTCAGAAACACAAAATATAATGGCTTTGGGCATGACCCCACCTCATCTGAGGGTACAGCTTGAAAGGCCAGTGGGGTGTGCTCCTTCTGTGCTATGGATATTTCACAAATGCCAGTTTTACTGTGTTACTTCCACAGGCAAGAAATGCCATCAGTGGGTTTGGGGCTTTGACTAGTGTTCAGTAATTCAGTTTAACAGGATCTGGACCACACTGGGCTGCAGTCCCTTTGTAATGTACTACAATGCGTGTACCTGCAACACACTGAGCTAATATTTAGAGGTAAAGTTCCAAATCTGTCCTTCGCACTGTAATAAGAGTATTCATAGTAAGTGGGTCTCATAAAACACTTGATGGTTGGAAATCACTAGTCTAGAAGGGTACGCAAGATTCAACGTTAAGTCTCTCAAACCGCCCAAGTTTACCTCAAAGACATTTTTACAACGCCTTTGGAGAACTCTTTTGAACTTGCTCTCATTGAATACCCAATCCTGGCCTAAAGTACAGTGTAATGATGCTTATATGTCGCTCCACTGGCTCTGCAAGCCCACTTGAGCCAGTTTTGTACAACACTTCAGCTCCTGGGTGGGAGCCGCCGCCGCAGCAGCGTCAGGCAGCCCTTCAGCACCACTCAGCTCCACGGCACCCGGCTGAAGGGTTTCCGTCAGGGAAACATGGGAAGTACTCCAGAGATTTTGCAAGTGGGGAAACCAGCTGAGCTCAGCCCCGTGGTCTCCAGCCAAGTGGGAGCAGGAGGTTAAGGGCCTGCAATTAAGACGGAGAGATCTTCATTTAGAGCCCGAGGGTGGCAAAATGGCAGCTGCTCCTACAGGCCCTGCTGTGCTCTCACTGTGAGGGGACGGGCTCTTGGCTGAGCACTGGGCACCCCATGCACAGACGGGCAAAGCTCTGCTGGTCCACCCACTTCAGGGCTTTGTGTCTCCTGAAGAATTAGAGGTGAGAACCAGCTGTCTCACACGGGAGCAGCTGCCCACAGGTGAAGCTTCCCCC